TATGGGGGGATTTTTAATTGTTGATGGGGTTTCTGATTTTAATTGTGAGCTGCCCAGAGTCGCCCATTGGGGGGAGATGGGCAGCATACAAATGCAATAATAAATAAATAAGTAAGTTATGGAAGAGGAACAAGTTCTACCTGACAAGACTGAGACTGAGCTGAAAGTGGATTTAAAAATGGCAGGCTACAAGAATGACATGGAAAAAAGATGCTACACTGGACATACAAAAGAAATTGGCTGATGTCTTAATCATTAAAAGGGACATACACACAAGAAACGAAGAGAGTGACCTGGATAACTTTCCTATATTGGATTTACAAAAGAGACTTATTAGCTTTAAGAGTTTTGTGAGAAGGGTCAAAGAAGATATGAAAAGAAATCAAGTTCTAGGACATTGTTTGAAGGGACTAAAGATCTGGATTATTAAAAGTAAAAGGAAGGAATATAAAGTTGGTTTATTTGATCAAGGTTAAAATAGATATGTTGTTATCTCTGGTAACCCTTAATGGACTTTTGCTGATTAGGAGTAAAATGATGAGGCTTTAAGGATTTGTTTATAGATAAGAGATGGGATATGGGAGGAAGAGATCATTTGTTTTATTTTAAAAGAAGGTAATAAATCACTAAAATTATTTATACTTGTGACAAAAGGGGAAGTCATTTCTTTATATATTTCTTTTCTTTTTCTTTACTATATTCTTATTCTTTCTTTTCTATTTTTCTTTCTATTTTTTTCTGCACTTTCTATTTTTTCTATTTTTAATTTTTTTTTTAGTTTCTGTTACTTTTTATCTTTTTAATTATAATTTTTAATAAAAGGAACTAGCCCCTGAGTTATCCAAATATACCACTTCCCTCATCAAAGCTAAGTGCTACTTCTCATAGGAAGCTATGACCCCATCCCATCTTCCAACATGATTTTCAGGCAGTTGGAAGAATCTATTTAGAATAAGCCTCCTTACTTTTTTGAGCTCCCTCAACATCTCCACATTTTATGTACATGTATCTAGGACTCTCTGGACAAACTAGGAGCAGGAAAATCTGTAAGACAGCTGCACAACCTGACAGGCACAGAAGTATTGGCCAAGTTTCCTGCCTGCCCAGCAAGATGTCCAATCCAAGAACCTGAAGAAAATATAGAATAGTATAAATAAATGTAAATAAAAACCTTGTCAAGTCATTACTCCTGGCATTAATAAGGAAGAATATGTGAAGTAGTGACATACATAAAATTCTTTCCTAGGGACACTTCTTATGACTCATCTCATTTGGGTGGAATCCAGATGCAACTGTTTTCCATCTTTTTCTTCTGATGGTGGTGTTGGTGGCAGTGCAAGGGCCAGGGTGGTACAGTGTTTGAGATGTTTGACTGGGGTTGGGGTTCAAATCTGCCACACTCATGGAAGCTGACTAGGTGACTTTGTGCTAGACTCAGTCCAGCCTATCTCACATACTTCACATCATTGCTGTGGGAAAAATTGAACAAAAGAGTATGTCTCCTTAAGCCCCAGGATATAAATCTAGATGATGATGATGATCTCAATTATTGGAAGCTGTCTGTGTGATGTCACTTTTGTTTTAAAAATTCCACTGGACTCCAGATAGCTTAAAACATATCTTTGAGCTCTGCTGCTTCAACCTCTAGAGTAAGAGTAGGCAACCTTCTTTCTATCAAGGAAAGAAGTCTCTCAGAAGTATGTATCAGGCACTGCATTCAGAAGTGAGTGTGAAGCATGTGATGTGATGTAGACCACAACCAAAAGTGGCGGGTGCAATAATTTTGACACAGTTTTGTTTCCTTTCTAACACCCACTTTTCTTTTCTTTGTCCTCTTTCATTTTTAGACAGCCTCCTCTTCTTCCTTGGCATCAAAAAGCAAAGGAACTGTCTTTTGTAATTAGGCCAAGGGTTGCAAGTTGTCCATCTTTGTACTAGTTGCTCTCATGGGCTACGTTACACCAATCCTAATTAACTTAATATGCTCCATTGGTTTATTCTTATAAGGAATGGAACTAAAGATTGACTCTCTTGAGCTGAACTCAAGTTTTAGTAATTTCGTGGAGATGGACACACTCATGCCATTTTTGGGGCAACAGTATGTAAGTGATATGTTCCTTCAGTTTCCCAGGCTACCCTACCATCCTGGGGTTTTCTGGGGACTCCCATTTAAATACTAATGAGACCCATCTCTGCTTTACTTTTAAGTTCAGCCAAGTCCATCTAGGTGCTATCTCCTGCTTCAGGTAGCATATACATATGTACATGTATATATGAAAAGCAGTAAATATTTGGTAATATTTGGGGGGAGATGGGCGGGGGACAAATTTAATTAATAAATAAATAAATAAAATAGGTAGACACTCATGTCTCAATCATTGTGCAATTGCACTGACCCATTTAATTTACACAGACTAGCCTTGGGCCATACTGCTGCAAATTGAGGGGTGGTTTGGAGACTGTTCAAGAAGCCCCTCTGCTCTACTAGGATGCATTTAGGTGGAGAAACATTATCTATGAACTTGTTTATCACATGTAACTACTACCAATTCTTCTGATGACTTGCTGATTGCTGTGTATATTTAAATAATTATTATGATAATCATAACAACAACAGAAAGTATTTTTCTAGGCATTGCCAATGGGCACGGACTCAAGTGTTTGCTGTTCGCTTTCAGATTTTTTAAAAAAAACTTTTTAACTCAGAATCTTGAGGTATAAATATGCTTAATAAATAAATAACTGTATACAATAATGAGATCAATGAGTTAGGAATTCAACAGTTGTTTTCAACTACCGGTGCATAGCCATGACAGCCCACCTTAGCTTTGTGACCACTGAGTCCTCCCCACAGCCTTACATACCTGGCTGATGAGAATACCTATAACAACAGCCAGCTGATTCAGGGATCCCAGAGCTCCACGGAGAGCAACAGGGGCTATCTCTCCAACATACAGTGGAGCAAGTCCAGATGAGAGTCCTGGGCAAACAAAAACGTACAAACAAATTGGGGATCTGACTGTAGCATCTTAATAGTAAGAACAATCATTTTCTCAGCTATCTTAAGAACACCTTTAAAATATGAAGGAAGAGCATATTCCAAAAAATAAATAATACAAACTTAAAAACTGAGGACTTCTATCCCTTTCAAGAATCTTGATGTTTCAATAAAAAGACAAATACTCCTTTAAGTCAAGTGCAGCTCTTGGTGACTTCATGGGTACATCCATATAGTTCCTTGGCAGCACTATATTAACTTCAGCTTCTTCTATCCAGAACATGGCACTGATGTGGGAAAGAAAGTGTTTTCAGATGCTGGCCAAATTCAGAACTCTCTCAAATGATTTTATTTATTTACTCTTCCTTGGGTGCACATGCCAGTATTGCTCCCTACCATTGCTACATTGATTCTGGCTTTCATAAAGTCCTTGTATCTTCCAACACTTAACCTCTAGGTGCATTTGAAATGCTCTACTCATCTTGAGCCATGCTAGAAGGCAACCCATTGCCTAGCCCTCTTCTAGTGCTTTGGTATGATTGTTAGGTTATAGGTCTGCCCAGTTACCCATAACTGACTTGAATGCAAGCATTAGTTGTAAGGTCCCCTCAGCAGATGGCTGTTGGGTTTACACCAGACACTGTAGTCAGTTCCTATTGTAGTCTTCTCAACCATCGACAGCTGTGGTCATTGCTTGAGGTAGCTGGATGTAGATTCCAGGTCTCTCAGATTGCTCCTCTACTTTTCTGTCATCTCTTTATACTCAGATTTTTCTTTCTTGTTTTGTTCATGCCATGTCACATGCTGATTTCAGAAGCCAGATGATAGAGAGCATGTTTCACCAAGAGGAGATCCCTGGTTTGGTCCCCAGAATAACCAGGGAAAGCCTCAACCCTACAGAACAACTGCTCCCAGTCAATGTTGACAATGCTGCCTGTTCCTTTTTCACTTGCAAGCAATCACTCAAGTATTTGGGAAAATCTGAGGAGAAATGGTCTACTGAGAATCAGCTTTAACTTACCACCATGCAAGCCTGTCAAGATTCTTCCAATAATTATCAGGATGTGGGAAGGACCAAATTTTGCCACTGCAAAAAGTATATTCCCAGAGACCGCAAGGACATTCACCAGTAGCATGGCTCTTACTCTAGGATAAAAGGAAGAGGTATTCAGCAAGTATCCAAAATGATTCTTGATCTACTAGAGGGTGTCAAAATTGTAAAAGCACTTCCATAGTAGATAAAAAGCTGAACGTTGGTGGATAGGTAGCCCATTTTTGTCTTTCCATCTCAAAACCCAGACAGGGTTTTTTTTCACAATCACAGCTAGCACTAACCTGGGTCTCCTTTGAAAAGGCTAGCTAACCTTGGAAAAACTGTACTTCTACTGTGTTAACTAAGTCTTAAGATGCTGCTGCTGTAATCCATAAAGAGGATTTACACCTGCACTAAGCCATGATTTGTTTAATTGGCTGGGTCCATATTTTGCACAAAGCCAAAATATATACCTTAGAAACCACACAACCCTTAAATGGACTTACAAAACACACCCAAAAAATGTGTTTTTCCCCATACTCTTCTGTACAGAAGTAGTCTTCAGTGGTGGAGGCACATGATACAGCTGCCAGAAAATAAAACATGGATTGACATTTTGCTATTATGCCTCTCAGAAGAAGAGTCATCAGGTGCCTCTGTAGCTCAGCTGTACTGCACTTCATATATACCCATATCCTCTTCATTCCCTTAATCATGGTTGCGTCCTATTACATTTACACAGCCCTGATAAAGTGCAGGCTGTATCATTGCTTTGATTATTCTAATAAAGATGAAGTGTAAACGCCTTTCAGCTTCCTATCATTTAAACCTTACTCCTCGGGCTGATAAATTCCCAGAGGCATCAGCACAGATTTTGCTCTGTCATCCTCTTTTCTCATTAGAGCTGCTATTCTTTTCCTCCTACCCAGTGTGACACTTACATTGTTTATTATTTTATTTCCAGTCTCTGTACACTGTCTGCTTCTGCAACTCTAGGAGGCTTACCATATACAGAACTAAAAAAATTTGTTTTAGAAATCCAACATGAAATCTGTTGCTGTCCTAACTGAAACTCTTCCACTCCCAATGCCCTGCAGAAAGTGTTTATCAACTTCCTGAAAGACATAAGAGTGGCTGCAGGAGGTATGCTGTTTCGGGGGGGCTGCTACTGAGACCCTTATTTTCCGGGCCCTACTCCCCACATCACGCAGTGCGGGCAGCCAAGCATCTTCTCTGGGGTAATCATTTAAAGGAGATGCAATCCACCTGAATAAGTTGGTCCTTAAAATAACAAGAGCCCAAATCAGGTAGGCTTGTATAGGTAACCATCAGTGCCTATTGGGAAGTAGAGTGGCTCCTGTAAAATAGATGTTTCCTGCTGAATCGGCACTCCAACATCAGAGGAAAAGCAAGTGCGAGTGGGAGAAAGACGGCATAGAGTTAAGCCCTGATGGGCAACAATTCCATTGATTGTTCCCAGTGTCTAAAATATCAGCTTTGTTCATATGGCCTCTTTGTTGATGATGAGAAACAATGACAGTGCAGCTTTAGAACTGGCAGGAGAAGAAGTGTTATCAGAATCAAACCCTGCTTGATTTTATTTTTTAACTGTGACCCCACAACCTAAATCTGTTGGGTGATGCCCATCGGATTTATACTAATGCATATCATATGCTTGCATACCCTGTTAGAAGTGTAGCACCCAATCAGCACTATGAACTATAGCACGAAAAATTGCCTATTCTCTCCTTTATTCCAGAGAGATTACGCTGATCTCTCCTTTGTTCTGGAGAGATTATGCCAACCTGGATCCAGCATCCAGCCACAGTTTCCCTCGCAAAAGCTGTCTTACTAGCCAGCAAGCCAGTAAGACCTCAGCTCACCATGGCGCTCAGATGAAGACTCAAGAAACTGACAAACAGAACATGAAGACAACTGACTTCCCTGTTCTTGTTCTCAGGTTTTGGAAGATAGTCATTGATATATATTATCTCAATAAGCTACTTCATCTTTAGCATCAACTAAGCTAGCAGCCATTAACCTATTTTATGGAAATGATATAGGGATGGAGACATCCTTTGCATCAAAAGGCTACACATCCAGTCCCTTGCATCTCCAGGAATGTCTGGGGAAGATCCTCAGCCTGAAATCCTGGAGAAAGCCTATCCTGCTTGATTTTATTGGACAGAAGTCACTGGGAATAGATGGTTCCATAACCATCCAGGCCCTGAGCAATATAGAGTTTTAAAGGTGACAACCAGCACCTTGAATTGCACCCAGAAGCTGACCAGTAACTAGTATAGCTCTTGAAGTAGAGATGTTATGTTGCAGTGCCTGTCTTATGAAACAGCAAACCTCCTGAGATTTGAATATTCCTGACCCTGCCAGCCTTTTGTAAAGCCTGGAAGACTTGGTTCTTTCCTCAGGCAGTGGGCCAGGATGCTGTGTGAGCCCATCTTTCGAGATGTGATTGTGTAAATGTCACACAGAGCAGGGTGTTTTGTTTTTGATCATTTATTGTTTTTAATGGATTGTTAGATATCCAAAATCACATGGCAAATGGCTGGCCATATAAATAGATTGAGAGAGAGAGAGAATAATGTTTTCCCATCAGAACATTAGCAGCTGTATTCTGGACCCCATGAAGCTTATGGGTGGTCTTCAAGGGCAGCCCCATGTAGAGTGAGTTGCAACAGTTCAAACAGGAAATAACTAAGACATGAACAGGAGGCCCTTGGTCTAGGAAAGGTTGTAACTGGTGCACCACATCCAACTGTGCAAAAATTCTTTTGGCCAAAGCTGCCATCTGTTCTTGGAGCAGGAGCTGTTTCCAAAAGCACTCCCAAGTTCTGAACCAGTGCTGCATGGGGAAGGGCAAACAATTCCAGAACCAAAGATGGTAAGTCCTGGGACTCAAAGGGTGTCTGTACCCATTTACCTTCTGTCTTGCTGTGACTGAATCTGAGCACCTGTTCTTCTCCATCCAGACCCTAACAGACCTCAGACCTCAGAACAGCCTTTTCCGTGGCTGCCCCTAACTTATGGAACATCTTCCCCTTAGTGATCCAGCAGGCCCCCCACCCTCTTAGCATTCTGAAAGACCAAAAAGACCCAACTCTTTACCTAGGCATTGGGGTAGAGTGATGGGAGCCTGTAGATGGTTGCTGGGGCATTCCAGGAGGATGATTGAGGCACTGGGTTTTTTAGTTTGGTTTTATGGTTTTTGTGGTTTTAAGGGTTTGTAGTTTTATTGTTGTTGTGAGCCATCCAGAGTTGTACTCTAAGATGGACAACCATACAAATATAATGGATGGATGGATGGATGGATGGATGGATGGATGGATGGATGGATGGATGGATGATAGGACCTCTACCATATTTTATATTTGGCCTGGAATCAAGATGTATAGTTCGGTATCATCAGAATACAAATGACATCTGACCCCATGTCAATGAAGGATCTTCCCAATGGAGGTGTTTTATGAGATAGCCTTATTTATTAGTTTCCTGATAGTTCAGGAAATTACTTTGTGTTGTATGAAGACCTCCTGCCATTCATTTTCCTGGACAGACACATAAGCTCTAGTAGAGAAAGGTGATATCCTCTATAAACATCTAACATCTTATCCTTTGGGTGTACGAGGAGAATAGAATTAGCGATGCTTCTAAGCTTGCTGTAGGAACCCAATGAGACTGAGAAACCAACGATAGTCTGGTTCCATAGTGGAAACGGATGAGAAAGTCAAGTGACATCCTTATGGAAATCCTGTATTATAGTACCAACCTGTATTGTGCCTGAAGCATTAAAGATGTTCCAAAGTCATTCCTTTTGTTTCTGACTTACCAAAGTTTGAATCAGATTTGGTTTTTGAAGTCTACATGCTTAATGTAATCATTTTTAAAAGGCTCATAATAACTCCTAACTAGCCAACTGTTCCTCCTAATGGTGGAACAGCAATTGCAAATCGCTCAAGCATAAGGATGTGCAAAATCTTGATTTGTTATATTGCTTACCTTGGAACAGCAGACCTGCCACAATATCACAGGGTCATTCAGTATACACAACATATTTAAACAGGTCAAGTAAAGACCTAGCAGAAGCATTCAAACAATATGCAAAACATTGTTAGTACTTTCCTTGCTTAGATTTTTGTGATCTAGCTCATTGTGCAGTCTCAGCCCATTTGGTTAGTTCAAGATTCAATGTATTGTGCAAGTCCAGAAAATAATCATGTTGTGTGAACACATTAGGCCGAGCCTCTTGGCAACTGAATGGAGAAATGCTTACCATCTTGAACTACTTCCAACCAAAAAAAAAAAAAAATTGTAGCCCTTCTAAGGATATTCCAATGATCTCCTTGACCATGTCTCCCCTTCCTTCCACTTCCTTTAATTGTACCAAGCTATAGCCTCATAATAATTTGTGCAGTGTGTAAGTGGTGGTCAGGACCCAATAAGAATTATTTTCATTAACTCCTAATTCACATAGGATGTCCATTTTATTTTTTCTAGCTACATATGAAATCCAACAAGGAAAAATGATCCTCACCTTGGCATCTTTTCTCCAATCCAGCCCACAGTGAAGGAGGAAACCATTCCTCCAACAGCAAACATAGACACAGACAAGGACCAAAGCATCATGAGTGTTGGGTCTTTCAATACCTCATCAATCAAAAAAGCGCCAGATGGATCTTTAGTACTTTGAATGTTCAGGACCTTTGCATAGTGGGTCATTATGATCTGTGTTGACAAAAGTGTATTAGTCATTTCACTAGTTATAAAACACTAGATTTATTCAGACACTGTCTGTTTCACAACCTGAATTTACCCACCAAATATATACTTGATAAGGAACAGCAGTCAAGTCTGGATCTCTAATAGCTAACCATACCTATACGGTTTGGTTTATATGTTTCCAAATCTGTATTTAGCCCCCTTCAAACATAATTAAAATTGGTAACTAGAACATAGCAATGAAGATCACAACTAGTATAAGAAACATATCAGAGTGTTACCTATCTCAAGTAGCCTTTTGTCCAGTTATCTAAATATATGGTGCTAACCTATTCAGGAAAAGGGGCTTTGTGGTTACATGCAGAACAATACATGTTTGTGCTGACTGGGAGTTCTCATCCCTCTGTCTGCTGAAATTTTCCCACTAACAGCTACATTTTAGGTGTACATGAAAAATAGCTTACCAGAGACCTACATGCTGGAAGAGATTGGCAACACTTGATTGCATTTTGTCCTTTTATCTTTCCCAAGCAAGTCAATGTCAAATTGTGGTTTATGGCCCTAGCTTCTTCAAATCAACCTGGGTTAAAACTAATTGTAACTGTTAGGGCAGATGAAACGATACTGAACTGAAGCTGGGAGCTGGTGCATTCAATCACTCTCACACAGCAAAGGAAGAAACAGTAGGAATAAATTGGTGCACGGATGCAGTCCTAAACTTTGTGTTACATTAGATCCAAGTCAATTGTAGGGTTCATACATTTTATACTGCTTTGGCTAATGTTGTATGTGGAAGTGATGCTTTTTGGATATCTCTTGTCCTTGAGAACAGGTGCTCAAGATATCACAATCGTTAAGGTGTCCATGGTCAAAGGACTGAGTCCCAAATATGGAGTATGATATTAATGCAATATAAATAATCAGATTTACTTGCCTGCTGTGGAGCATTGATGACTCCAATACAATAGCCATACTGGAAAAAACCCAGCACTGCAGTAAAAACTGAGAAAAATAAAGTACCAGTGACATCCTAGGAAAAGAGCAACAAATGAGAGTATAAGGTCACACTGTGCTTTTCCATCACAGCAAATAGAAGAAGAAATCAGGTGTGCATTATCTATTTCAACCCTTTGCTTGGAATTCTTTGAAAAGCTATCAAAGCTGGTTTGAATGATGCCTCTAAAGATTGCCAGGATTCACAACATCAAACAATAAGGAGCAGCAACTTCTTAAATCAGGAGTATTGCCATATTGTATTAAATATGCAAAATATGTGGAGGATATCAAATCCATTGCTTGCTACAATTTAAGCATCACATAGGCTGTGGCTTTCTTGATGGGGTGGGTAGGAGTATTATTTTAATTTGCAGGGATTTGTTCTAGATTCCAGCAAAGGACAATCCACAAGGCTATCAAATTGCAGATTCATTAAAACCAGATTTCGCTGCTGTACACACACTGAAATAATTGTGTGACTGCATATATGTCCATCTGGGAACTCTACTTTCTTTTACATACTAGTGTAGCTCTTTTTGAACAATTGGTGAACATTTTGGAAAGAAAACCAGGGTAGCATTTGACTTGCATGAGTTTGTTTAATTGTTCCTTGCAGATCTCAGAAAAATCTCACATTCGTACATCAGTGAGGCTCTTTACAAACAGTCAGATAATTGTGTGGAACAATTGCAACCAGGGCCATTATGTACATTCTAGAGCTCTACTCATTGTATATGTGTGATAAATATGCACAAGGCCTGATTAACCCATCAGACTGGACACAGCCCAGCAGCTGTGACTTGTGGTTCACTAAGGACCAATACTTTAATTGCCTAAGAGGAAAGTAATAGGGAAGTTGTCAAGACCTGCCAAACTGCCACACACAATTGGTGGACATATTTGGTGTAGTGAGTTTCAAATCGCTAAAAGCAGGGACCATATGCTGGTGGGAGGGACCTAGAAAACTTATACCAGTTAGAGAAAACAGCATAGAAATGTGATGATTGGGTGATGAAGCTGCCAATAAAAGCATGGCAACACTAGGTACCTCCTCCCAGTATATATTGCAGGAGGAAATATTTCCTTTGCCCAAATGTTGAACAAATGATTTTGCTGACCTGTATCGTCTCCATGCTCCACCTAGTCATGTTACATCAGAGTCATAACAAACTCAAGAAGAAAAAGAAAAGTGTTTTTATACCAGACATCACACATTAAAAAAAAAAAAAAAAAACAGGCAGAGCTTCAATCACACTGTTGCAACCACCATCTTGACATTTTTTTACTATACCCTGCTGAAACCAGAAAAGGGGTTACCAGTTGCAATAAGGCAAATAGATCCTGTAAAGATCTTCCAGAGTATAGGATTTTATTTAAAGAAAAAACAATGATAATAAGGAAAAGGTACTCATAGCCAAGAGGATACATGACAAGGAGTAGACAGATAGGTTTTGTTAGGACAAAATGGTATTAGGTGGCTTACTATGTGCCTATGGTATTGAATAGGACTGAGTAACTTGCAACCAATGGGTCAGTATTGTATTTTTATTATATATACTTGTAAATTCCTAGGGTCCAACAGATTGTGGTGGTATATGTGTTCAATAAATTATCTTGCCTGTTTTTACTGGAGACCCCAAGGTCACCCTCATGAAATCCAGGGGGCTGCAGCAAATAGCAGAGGTATGATTTTCTGCAGATTTTTCTCTCAAATGGGCTAAAGGTATCTATTTTGTTTAACTCCCTACCCCCCTCAAAATGGGATAAAGGGCCAAAACCTCTGGTCTCACCCACTCATTTAACATCACTGTATCACTGTTACCCTCTGCTGCCAACATTTCACTTCAAAAAAAGAGATCCCAACACCCCCCCTTCAAAAAAGATAGTTCATCTTTGATATGGAGACACCAGAAGTCTGACCTTTACGTCATATCTGTCTAACTGTCCATCTGTCTATCACATGGATTATTGGTATATGAGGCTCTTCCTTATCTTTAAACTAGATTTGGAATAGATTGTTGTCTAAATAGAGGGAACTTTCTAATAGAGAAATGGCCTCTGTAAAATAAGGCACAGGAATACCCAGTCAACATGCCAAATTGGTTCTGAATCAGGTAGGAATGGTAAAATTTTCCAGCTGAAGACTATTAAGCTCCCGCTCCAAAGCCTTTTCTTTGCTCTCTTGCTAGTCCGTACCTGACCTCTTGATGTCTACCTGAGGGCAGATCCTTCCCCACCCTCAGCAATTTTCTCTGACCCTCTAGAGGTCTGGTGTGATCCTAAACAAGAAGGTGCCAATAAAACCCTTTGTCTCAGATTTACCGAAAAGGCCCCTAAAACTGTTTCCAAACATTGCAAGAGAGGGAGAGAATGGGAATTTAATTGAGCATTTATAAAAACACATTTTGAACTCACACACATATACACATACATTAGAAGTGTGTGAGGGGGCTGTGGTTCGCCTTAGTGAAGCCCTTTCTGTTATGGAGGCTACATGATTTGCCTTGTCAAGGTGCTTTATATTGACCTGAAGTCTCATGTGGCAATTCCAATAGCTGGCAGAGACACTCAGTTTGCAATTGTAGAAGGCTTTCCTGGTACTGAACCTGTCAGATGAGGTCTCCAAGTGAAACTAAGCAGCTACTTCACTCTCTGACTTGGTCATATCCTTCTTTGGTCTTTTCTGATGTCAAATCAGTACATATGTTGAATAAAACATAGCAGTTAAGAAGTAGACATGATGTTGAATTAAATTCCTATGTTATGGAATTTGACATTTTGTGAAGAACTCTGTCACTGTTGAGCCTTGGGTTTGGCAAAGAGAAATGCTTGATGTTAAAGGGTGGATTCAAGAGATGTGTTCCCTGTTGATTTTTGAAATGTCTTTATATTTTAAAAATGAGAAGCTGGCATAATATGTTTCTATACAGTCTAGATTTAATAACATGCTTAAGGAATGAACTGGATTTATATTAAAATTATATGGATCCCTGTTTTCTTCGGTTCATTTTAATCACAATTGCATATTAATTTAATTGTTGTATTTTTTTTTCTTACCTTTATTATTATATTTTGGTTCTTATAGTTCTCTCTCTTTCTCTTTCTCTCTCTCTCACTCTGTCTATGACACTTCACTTTGAGAATTGTGTATGTTTGTGTGTATATGTTGCTTCATGAAATAGCTTTGAAGGAATAGTTCACACAAACCTTTGTGGAACTGAAGCACACCTTTAAAGTTTTGCGCAGCTTGAACACATACATGCTTCAGCTGATCGCAGCACCCAAACAACCTTGGTTGATCTCCCAGAAGCTAAGCAGGGTTGGAACTGGTTAGTACTTGGAAGAATGACCATTAGGAAATACCAAAGTATAGTCTGCTATATGTTAATAAATTGGTATAGTAACCAATTGTTATTTATAATCAATTATAAACATCCAGGAGACAAATATCTTGATAAAATTAATAATATAAGGTACGGAACATAACTATGATCATATGTAGAATTCCCCAACGTGTTGCTGCCCATGAGCTGGACTTTGACCCTCCTCATTCCCAGTTGCAGGGATGGTTGGGAATGATAAGATTCCAGACGTCTGAGGAGCGCCAGGTTGGGTAATGTCCTGCATCATGGGTTGATCATGGCTCATAAGGGCTCCATGAATTTCCCCATTATTTTAGTAATCCCTGCTTATCCTTTATTTGAATAACTCTGTGTTTGCACTACACAGTCAATGTATTGAGAAATTTTAACAGCGTGCCCCACAGCTGAAATAATAACTCATGGTTGGGAAAAGGGGCATAAGACTCTTAGGTCTAGGCACTATATTCCCTGAGTTGCATCATCTGCTACAAATAAGCTATTTCTTCTGCGTTCATAGTGCAAAGTGG